TACATATTAATATTACATATTTTAATTTAAAAACAGCCTTTAGATTTTACAAAAATAATTTCAAGTTGTAAGTTATAAGTTTGTAAAATTGTAACCAATTAATTAATTTGAGAAGTGCTACATATGAATTATGAAGTACAAGTTTACAAATGAATTTTATTGAATTGAATTATTGAATTGATGTACACAATAATATAAAATAATTCAAGTATATTTATTTCAAATAAGAAAGTACAATTGAGAATTAGGATGCATTTAAAATATGTAATACATTTTGAAATAAAAAATCAATCGGAATCTCCGCCTTCGGTGGTTGTTTCCTCCATAAAGTGGCGGGTGGGAGCGATGGTCATTTCTTGAGTTCTTCGTTTGGCCTTCAACCAATCATGGAAGCAAACTAGCGTCTCAAGAGAGCTCGGGCTCAACCTCGTTCTATAATCAGTTAGGACGCTGCCGGCCGCACTAAATTCTTGTTCCACGGCAACTGTTGATATCGGCATTGCTAGCACTTGCTTAGCCAGTTTTGATAAAACCGGGAACGTTCTTTCATTGTCCTTCCACCACTTAAGAACGTCAAAATCATCCCCAACTTCATAATCAACATTCAATGTTAGATAGATAGAAAGCTCGTTAACTGAGCTTTGTTCAGTAGCGGGAGTTGCTCTACTTTTTTTCATAAGAGAACCAAATGCAGATTTTAAAAGTGATTTTCCTTTAGATGAAGAAGATGTTCGCGGCATGGGAGGGGGTGCATTACCATATTGTGCATAAAATTCATTATACAATTGATGAAATAAATTACTAACCTCGTTGTATTCTTGTTTAGGGTCGATGGGATTATCATCGAACTCTTGAGTTGGAAAAAAACAATTATAATAGTAATCTATACAACTTGGCAACGCGGCAAGTCTATAACGAGGATCAAGAACAAATGCAATACCATATATATGCGGAACATGTGAATAATATTTTAAAAATTTTTGTTTCATGAAATCACAAAAATAACTAACGTAAGCGGCATCGGAAAATTCTAAAAATGCGCCGGCGAGATTAACAGCTTCAACAAAAAATTCGTTTGCGGTAGGTTTATAAACATGACTAAAAGTTTGAGTTGCGTTATTAAAATATACCAAAGCATTAACAATTTTTTCACAAGTGTCGATGTCAGCCGGGTTTATAATATAGTTATAAGTTTGTCTTAAAAAAGCAGGAAAATGTTCTTTATATCTAATAAGTACTTGAATTAAGTTATAAGTACTATTCCAACGAATAGACAAATCTTTAGGAAAAGCACAATAATTGACACGTCTTTCCTTCAAATATTGTCATCATTGCATTTTTAGTGGAGTGTTAGCCCAAATCAATTTAATTCCCCCCTTCACTACCTCCAAAGCATTTCCTAATGCCGCTAATCCATCTTGTACACACAAATTTAGAATATGACATGCACAACGTTGATGAAAAAACCTACCCATCAATGTAGAAGCACCACACAATTCACACAATCTAGGTATAGCAGCAGTATTATTACTAGCATTATCAAAACCTACAGCAAACACCTTATCAAGCAAATTATACTCAATTAAAATACGCTCAATGAGAATATAAATATTATCAGCAGTATGACGATCATTGAATTCACGAAATGCAAGAACACGTTTATGCATATTCCAATCATCATCAATATAATGTGCAGTAAGACCCAAATAATATAAATGATGATAAGTATCCTCCCATATATCGCTACAAATACTAACACGTCCATTAAAGTTTGCGAAAAATGTTTGTAAATTTTCTTTTTCGAAGTTATATTGCCTTATAACTTCTTTTTTAATCGTTTTGCGACTATAATTTCTAAATTGAGGATTTAAAGTGCCTTGAGCATAATCTCTTAAAGCAAGACTTTCGGAAAAAATATAGGGTAAATTTTCTTCAACAATTAAATGAGACATACCAGTCAAATGTTTTTGATCATCATAGGAGAAATTACCAAAGGGTTGAGAATTTGCAAACCTCGATATTTGTGTTTGCTTCCCCTTGCCCTTGTCTATTTTCGCATACTCCACAAGATGGGCGGATTTAAGATGCCTTGTGAGACTCCCGTATCCGCCAGAAGTTCCCAAGCTATACTCTTTGCCGCAATGATTGCAACTTGCGTACCATTTTTCGGTATTTTTGTCTTTCCTTTTTGTAAAATTGTTTTCAATAATAGGAGATTTAGATTTCTTACCAGTTTGGGTTGAACCGCCCTCGTCCTCCAAGTCTTGCTCATCATCCGGGGTGCCGTGAGTCCCGTCGCCCCCCACGTCCTCCTCCGCATCGTCATCCTCGAGCTCCTCTTCATCAATGGTTGTCGGGATGGGTTGTTCTTGTGCAAAGCGTGGATCGTTTTGGGACAATAGGTTTTGTAGATGCTCGTCGGACATCATCATATCATCTCTCCGTTGGTAATCCGTTTCAAAATCATCTCGACTTTGAAAAGAAGACTCGGCCCGCGCTTTACCTTTGCCTTTGCGTGAATTAGGACGAGTCGACGCAATCTCCCTCTTGCGGTTGCGTTGGAGATTACCCACATCTACAGAATGTCTACCACGTTCCATCTTTAAAATTGAACAAATATTAAATGATATCAAATATTTTATATGAGTACAATAGTAATAATAAAATGTGACTAAGAAAACTATTGCGAATTCGAACTAAAATATGAGTATACAAATCGAACTACTTCTAATTAATACTTTAATTTAAAACTATTGCGAATTCGAACTAGAAATGTATCAATTAACTAAATATTAACTAGTTTGACTAATATAAATATGAGAAATGTAAAAATTAACTAGTTTTTTTTTTACTTTAATGAGCAATGTACAAATCAACTAATATTAATATGAGAAATGTAACAATTAGGTAGTTTAACTAATATTAATATGACAATTTTAACAATTAACTACTTTAGGTAGTTTTTAAAATGACAAATGTAAAAATTTACTAGTTATTTTTACCTTAATGAGAAATGTATACTTTAACTAATATTAATATGACAAATGAAAAAATGTACTACTTTTTTTACTTTAATGAGAAATGTAGCAAGTAACTAATATTAATATGAAAAATGTACCAATTAAGTAGTTTAACTAATATTATTATGACAAATGTAAAACTTAACTAGTTTTTTTTTTTACTTTAATGAGCAATGTATCAAATAACTAATTTTAATATGACAAATGAAACAATTAAGTACTTTAACTAATTGAAATATGACAAATGTAAAAATATACTACTTTAACTATGTTTTTCTTTAAAGAGAAATGTAGAGAAATGTAACAATTAACTAATTTAATAGATAAATTAGAAGTCTAACAATTAACTACTATTATAAGTAATATATAATATAATGTTTATAGTATATAATATATAAGTATATTACTATAAGATGAGTAATACACTTATACTTAATACTTTAATATATATATATATATATATATAAGTATATATTAACTAAATGTAATATGTAAATATAAGTAAATAACAATAGTATGTATAAAAACTAAATATCAAATAAATATGAATGTGTATAATATATTTTTAACTATATAGTATATAGTTAAAAACTATATATGTATAAAAACTAAATATCAAATAAATATGAATGTGTATCAAACTTATATATAGTATATATAATGTTTATAGTATATAATATATAAGTATATTACTATAAGATGAGTAATACACTTATACTTAATACTTTAATATATATATATATATATATATATAAGTATATATTAACTAAATGTAATATGTAAATATAAGTAAATAACAATAGTATGGATAATAACTAAATATCAAGTGAATATGAATGTGTATAGTATATATACTTATATAGTATATATAATGTGTAAAGAATTATAATATGAATGTGTATAAGTATATATTTTTAAATAGATAATTAATATATAAGTAGATATAATAATTATATAAATTATATATATGTAGAAAGAATTTGGAGAAGATGAAGAATGAAGATGATTGAATATGAGAGATTTAGAGTAGAGAATTAGAGAGTAGGAAGAGTTGTAGAAGAAGAGATGTAAAAAATGTAGAGAAAATAGGAGTTTAAATAGATTTTTTTGTGATACCCCACCCCCACCCCCCACCCCACCCCCCCACCCCACCCCCCTAACCCCCCAGACCCCCCCCTCCTATGCTCCCAACGGCTATAGAGCCGTTTGGGAGCCTTCCCAACGGCTAGGAGAGCCTCTTCCAATTTAAAAAAAACAAATTTTTTTTTTTAAAAATCTGGCCGTTGGAGGCCCGAACCGGGCCCGGCCCGGCCGGGCCGGTTCATTAAAATGGAGGCCCGGGCCCAGACCGCTATACAACCGGGCCGGGTGGCCCGAACCGGTCAAGAACCGGGTGACCGGGCCGGTCCGGGCCCGCACAGTAGCGGGCCGGTCCGGTTCCGGGCCGGTTGGCCCGGCCCGAGTCCACCCCTAATCAGGCCATAGTTCTCACCACAACTCTTGCAGCAACAACGAGAACAGCAATACCAATGTTTATTAGCTCTAGTGATGGACCCGGGCCGAGCCGGGCCGGGTCCGGGTCAGGCCGGAGGTTCAGGATTGGTGGACCCGGGACCAGCCCGGGTAGCCACCGGGCCTCCGGTTTGGGTTTTTTTTATCTTTTTGCTTTCGTAACACCCCCCCCTCCCTCACCCCCCACCCACCCACCCCCCACCCACCCCCCACCCCCCCCAAACCCCTCCTAACCATCAAGCCCAAACCGGGTGGAACCCCAAAAAATGAAAAAAAAAATCAATTTGGCCCGGACCCAGGCCCATCCCAGCCGGGCCGGTTCGCCAAATGTGAGACCCGAGCCCGGACCCGCCCCCCGGGCCTAGGCCCGACCCGGACCCAAGAACCGGGCCGGTCCCGGTCCCGCAGAGTAGCGGGCCGGGCCGGTCCACGGGCCAGGTGGCCCGACCCGAGTCCACCACTAATTAGCTCTCTTTAATGTCATGACTTATGATTTAATATTCTATTTTTTCAAAGTTCAAACATGAGAATGAATGTCATCCAGTGCTAATATTAATATTCATACACCCTGTCTGTATATAACTGTTGCTAATACAAAACAAATGTGAGGGTTACACAAGAAAATGCAATAGAAAAGAAACCCTGGTTTGCTTGAGACAGAATATTACAAGGACTGAGCAATCCAACTCTCTAGGCATGGGGTTAAAGAGTTCCATAACCACCTATTTTGTTTCTCCTTTCTTAAAGGAAAGTTAAATTCTCTGCAGCCAAAGAATATCAGCAACAGCCCTAATATGGTCAATGTGATTCTAGAAGGATGTTAGTAGCTGCATTAACATCGTTCCTAGCACGGATGAGTGCCTGTCTTGCTGAGTTTCTGTCAAAGCCCATTGATACCAGCATTGTTATGGACTCCTCTGGCGGCTCGACTGCAGCAGACAAAGGCGGAGCAGAAGCATAGTTTCCCTGAAGCCAAACATTGGGGTGGTGGGTAACATGAGCAGAATTGAAAAGTTAGGAAACAAAAAATAAAAACAAAGACAAAATTTAGGAATAGAAAAAAATTATACATAAAAAACCTGTTAACTCAATACATTCGTTCTTGGATAGTTCAACTATTTTCATTTAAATGTTGCTTCCATTATACAAGACTAAGAAATCTAACTTCATGTAATTTTAAAGCCTTTAACAAAATTTAATTTCCTTACCGTTTTCAAAGTTAAAACCATTTTCCTAAGTCATTTTTCCCTTGCTATTATTCCAAGTCCAAAACTTAGCATTAGTGTTTGCTTTCATTAAGGTTACATCCAAAGATTAGATTATAACTACAGAAAAAACTAACACTAAACATCATTAACGTTTTGTCCCAAAAGAACCCATAGTTTTTCATCGAACCAAAAACACCCCTTAACATTTTGTCTGTCGTAGACTCGTAGCAAACTTTAGCTTCCCACTATCACAGCTAAACTTTGTACCTTTTTATATTATACTCCTCCGTCCCTTAAAATTTCACCAACTTTGACTGAACGTGAAACAAAAGAGTAAAAAAAGTAAAAAGATTGTGGTAGACGTTTGTGTTGAGGAAAGAAAAATAATATCAACCCAAATTAGTTATTTCAAATGGGAAATGTTTTTGGAACAGTCAAAATAAGATAAGTTTAGTGGGATGGGATCATGGGGGAAGTAACAAATTATGAGCTGCAAAGTGGCAACCAATTATAAATTTTATTTCAAACACTATATTACAATGTTTGTGCTCAAGTTATGGTCACATTGACAATTTTCAAAAATTTGGACATAAGTCCATATTAGCGCAACAGGTGTATGTTTTTTGGGCAATAATTTATTGTTATTTTGGATAGTATAAGAAATAAAGGATTTACTAGGTCATTACTTTTACGATTATATGGGTTTTTCGTCCACATGGGAAGTGTGACTACTGCTGATGGGTAAGCAGCAAAACTGAACACTTGCCTGAACTTGGCGACCTAAAAAGGGTGGTGTGGTTCCCGTAGCATTCCTTGGTGTTGTAGATGTTGTGCCCCCAATGGATGGCATGGAAAGTCGAGAGAAGAAGGAAGCAATAAAATCTGGAAACTATAAACAGAAAAGTATATAAGTGAACATTAAACATACAAAACCATTTTCGCATAGTAAAACACAATGAGAATCATTATGCAAACACATTATCTGCCTCACACAATGCGCTAACATTCGCCTCAAGACGGTGCTTCGTTGAAGCTAACCCATCTTGATGTTCACGTGCTCAGATATAATTGTTCGTTAGGACCTAATTGGCTCTATTACTATATTATGACTTATCCTAAAAGGTCAATTTTAAGAGTAGGCCAAAGCCTCATATGTTGGCTTGTATCATTATCATTACCCATGTGAAATGACTTGAGATAAGTAAGTAAAGATTAACATTCACTTGTTGACTAATCCCACTTTAACTCTGTACTCACCTTTTGATATTTGAGGGTTCTCTTTTAAGTGAGTTAGGACCACTTTCGCATGATATGAAAACATTCGTGGTTTGTGGGGGCAAGCTGTTTGGGATTCGGCTTGGACTGATTTATCTATCCATCGTCCCACCCAAACTGGGCTAATGCATTTGTGTTGAGTCGAGTATACTCAGATTTGAGTCTAGTCAAGTGTATATGTAATTAGGTCAACCTCTTGAGGATATATTGGAGCAAGTTGCACACAATTTAACATATTAACTAAATCTGGTCATATAATAGTTTGATGGGCATCCCATTTGATGGTTAAGTCCCAGACCACTCGGGGTTCAAATTGGACCCATTTTTCCAACCAAAGAGTGTTGAGTATCCGACAACTATTGTCTATTTGGGTTTGGTTCTGGTATGTTACTGTGTACGTAGTACTAAATAAATATGCAGTAGATTTCTCCTTTAAAATTCTTAGTGATCGTTTGGGCTGACTTAGTCTGAATTTAAAAGTGGCTATACAAGGGAGATAGAGACCAAATACCTTTACCCCTCGAATACGAAAAAAATTCATACGATATAAACAACCAGCAAGAATTCCACAGAGCCCAGGTAGAATTGATCTTTTCCACGATGAAAAGAGAAGCTGCAAAACAAACAAAATTAAGTACAAATGGAAAATACTCCCTCCGACCCATAAAATTCTTCTCGCTTACTTTTTTGGGATGTCTCAAAAAATTCTTCTCATTTCCCTTTTTTGAAAGTTTTGTGTGGCTCGCATTTATTTACTTTTTTCTTACTCAACCACAACCATACATTTCCACCTTCTTCCCACTTTCTTAAACTCCGATCCAAATCAAACCAGGAAGAATTTTATGGGACGGATGGAGTATCAGCAAAACCAGATGGTAAAGTATTCCAACAAACTTCAGAAATAATAATAATAATAATAATAATAACAAACGAAATACAGCAAATTACCTGAACACCCGCTAAATAAATAAACGCCTTATCAGAGAAGTGAAGGACAAAGCCACGAAAACGTGTTGAGACTGGTATGTCAAGATAAAAGGGTACAAATGATGAAAATATTAAACCGTAGGGCCCGGATGCGAGTACATTTATGGATGGATCTGGAAAAAAGTAAACCAAATGTAATTACTCCTGATAGCTTGGTACTTTAGTAAAAGAAAATAAAGAAAACAGGTGAAGCTGGTGAATATAATAATAAGAATAATCTTGCTGCTACATGATCCCATCATAACACAACTTACTTCATCAAATTGAAATAAAAGGAAATCGGGGAAGAAAAGCATCAACATAAATTATTAAGGTCTGTTTGGATTGCGAAAAATGAGAGGGGAAGCAGATAGGGAGGATAGTACATGACAAATTTGGAAGAAAAGAAAAATCTTCCAAACTCAATAAACCACATTTTGATATTTGTTCAAACTCCTTTTTTATTTTTTTATAAGTGCAAACAAATTTCAAAGTAAATAAAGTCCAAAATGTTTTATATTCAAATATGATTGCTCCTTCATGTATTTCAAGTTAAAACTAACCACAAAAAAATCCTTGGAATATCATCATCTTTCTATACCAAATTTTGCATTTCCAACATAGCCTAAATAAGCCAGGACCATGAATGTTTGAGTGAAACCCCAGATTTCAACAAGTCCGAAAAGTATAATAAAGTTCTTTGAGCCTTGGACTATTAGACTAACACTCTGTATGTTTAAGAAGAATAAAACAGAAAGTATACCCTTGAGAAGTTTTAATCCAACAACCTCTAGCACAAAAGTAACTATGACAGAGAACAAAATGAATACCTGCAAGAGCGAGAGTTTTGTATCAGAGTGTACCTTCTCAATTCATAAAGTTTGATATTTCATACAATATTATTCCATACAATTTACTTCTATATTAACCAAGTACTACCTCTGTCGTAAAATAAAGAGTCATTTTCATCAAGCTACAACAATTCAATTTAGAGAGTAAGGCACTACTGAAAATCATCAATTGTAGTTTTACTTTTGATGTTTTTTGGTTTAACTAAATCTAACATATTCTTACATTCATCTTGTTTCCGATACTTAAAACGTTAATTTTAATCTAAATAGCTCTCTTTATTGAAACGTAACTCTGTTTTTGGGACAAAAACTAGCTTTCAAAGAGGACTCTTTTTGTAGGGAAAAATAAGCCCTCAAAGCGGACTCTTTTTTAATTAGCCGGTGGAGTAATGTATATAATTTCACAGTTAACACATTACATATCTATGCAAATACTAATTTCCAACTAACCAAGTAACATTCTTAATTTTTAAGATTTTATATCATTATATTACCATTTAATATGTGCTCCTAAACACCTAATATGCGTGTATGCTAAACAAGTACTCGTAGCAAATGAACAAAGATAAATGAAATGAAAAATGTGATCCTGTCATATTTCTTCTAAACAGGATACCATCTTTTATCTGTTCTAATGTTCTTCACTGTTAGCTGTTGACAATCCATTGTGCTGAACTCAGACAACTTAATCAGAAACTATCATTTGAGATGACTGAATGCATGAATCATAACAGATACTACCTAGTACCTATGTTGTTTAATAGTTGCAACGGTTTGACTTTTTCACTACTTACATACTCTAATTTGACCATATTTTATATATAATGCACCAAAAAACATAATATGAAGGCAATGTTAAAAATTGTCTTCTCAATGTAAAATTCATAATATGATTTTTTTCAATTATTTTATTAAAAGGAGATTAAATATACTAATGGTCAAATTTGTGGGTTGGAGAACGTGAAGGACAAACTGTTGCAAGTAAATAAGAACAAACAAAGGGGGTGTTTGGAACTGATTCTGCTTCTGCTTCTTTTTTAAAGCAGAAGCAGAAGCAGAATCAGTTTTCAGACTCTGGTCACCCCCAGCTTCTAAAAAAACTGATTCTGCTCTTTCACCCAAACACTCGAGCTTCTGCTTCTACTCCCAGGAGGAGCAGAAGCAGTTTTAAGAATCAGATCCAAACACCCCCAAAGTATATCTCTACCACTTTATATAAGTTTTCCTTTTTTAAAAGAAAGAAATACTCCACAATTCTTAGCATTGTAGCAATAAATTAAAAGGATGTCAAAGGTTCTTACAGAATACTTATTCGAACCAATTTGCCTTTCAAAGACACGGAAATAATACAGAAGGTATGCTCCAAATATTAATTCTGGGGTAGATGAAAAGGAAAACAGTGATACAACTAGCTTCCATAGTTGAAATTTCTTGAACATATCCTGTGTAAAATAATAAGAAACAAATGCTCATCGGTGAGTAATAAAAATTGATGATTTCCATTTCCTGATACATAGTAGAAAGCATATCTAGTATTTGATATTATGATACGATGATTGTAATGGATCCTAAAGGTCCATTTGGAGCCAGAAAATGCTGATGGAAAGAAAATAGGGAGATAAATAAAGAAGATAACTGGATGGAAGAAAATTTAAGGGGAACAAAAGGTAAGATAAAATTTAATAAATTTATATTGGATCTTTCTCAAACTCATTTTATTCATATATTTGTACAACATTTGAACTATGGGTCATCCGGAAACAGTCTCTTGGTGCTTTAGTCCAGGGGTAAGACTGCATACATCCGACCCCCCTTATCCACCGTAGGTGGGAGGCTTTACGGCACTGGGGTAAATGAAAACGAATTTGTAAAACATTTGAAGGATATGGTAATAAATTAAAAACAATTAATAATATCACTTTCCTTCGCAGTTTTCAAGTTTAAAGTTTTAAACTTGGGAGTGTGAGAAGAAAGTACATTATCAAACTTAGCTCACATTACACAAAGATTTCAGATTTCCATTGTTCCACCACATATGATGTGGAAGAAACATGCAAATTGCAGAAAGCAGGAAACCATCAAATTCAGAAAATTAAACTTAAGCTAACACGACCATTAAACTATTAAAGAAACAGCTTTTCACCAAACGCCATAAGAGGTAAATATTCTACCAAGATGATCTAATAAAGAAGCACTTATTAGATGAGAAGAGCAAATTGGGCAGCAGAAAAGAACCTGATAAGACCAACCGAGCTTGTCGGTACGCCCTTTAATCCCAAAGACAAGTGTAAAGAGAGCACAGGCTATCACCAACGCTCGCGTCACCGGCGCATTGTCTGTTACACAGTAACAACAGCAATTAGAGGAATGGGACAATCGGACAAAACGCATCATTTATGTGTGCGTAAGAGATTGGGTGTGTGAAGATGCGTCGGAGATCGAGATAGACGTACTGAAACCAGATGGGCCGCCGTTCATCTCCGCAGTGAACCCCGACGACCTGAACTGAGCTCACCTTCAGTTATATTTCTAATTTTGTGTTCTTCCTCTTTCCCAATATGTACAGTTTTGTACGGATGATATCTCAACTCTCCTAGCTTTTGAAGAAACAATTTGCCGTCTTCTCGAATTGTCTCCGATGGGGTCCTGTTGGGGATTTATTGGATTTGTATGTTTACGCCTGGGTTTGGTTAACGGGTCGAACTACTCGTCTTGGATCTACCGGGAATGTCTTGCCCGTTCGGTGGCTACTCATCTTTGCTTAAGAAGGAATTTACTAGGACTAAAATAGGGTCATAATGCTCTTTGTACACACATTAGTACCCACTCTATACCCACTATTTAAACCCCAAAAAATAATTACACCCTTTCACCCCTTTACCCCCTTCCCTCATCTCTCCTCTATCCCCACCTTTTCTGTACGCCCTTTCTCTCCTGTCTCCCCCTCCCATCTTCTACGACGTTCTTCTCCCTCCCCTCTTCCCCATTTTTCTCCTCCAAACCCAAGCTCAAACTGTGCAGACGGAAGAGTGAAGACTGTTGATCTAATTCATTTTTTACAACGAGCAGCAAGGTTTTCAATGTAAAATTCAACCTATATTTTTATCTACCCTGTTCATTGTGTTATAGGATTATATTTGTTTTTTTCGATTTTATGTATATAATACGAGTATATGCTAATGTTGAATACTTGATTACCTTGGTATATTGTTATAGAGTTGTGATGCTTATTATTGAGGTTTTAATTCAAACTATTCTTTTTCACTTTATGTCCAAAAGATGTTTGTAGAAATGACCCAGTGAATTTTCCATTCATATCCGCAATTTGTGAGTTCATTTTCCTTTTTTGCTAATTTCTTGGACTATTTTATTTTGTTATTATGATTTTTATTTAGCTTTTTAATTCTATTTGTATGCTTAATTTATGTTTGTGAAGTTGTTTATTTACCTACTTGTTTTCATTTTGAATTGGTCAAGTTGACTACTGAGTTTATAGTTTAAGCATCCTATTCTATTTTCTTGCACATTAAGTGTTTGTGGAAAGGTTGCAATGAATATTTGTTGAATATTAGAAACATGAATATAAAATAATGAGACAATCATGGATAACATTCTTTTATTCTTTTTTTGTGGTATAATGTGCTTTTATATTTAATTGATGATATTAAATTTCTTTTTTTCCAGTTTAGATTATTGTGTTCTGACCATGTTAGTATTTCGCTTAGTTTTGTTTTCCCTTATTCGAATGGACTGAAATGTTAACTAATAACTCTTCTTCTTGTGATGGTTCAAAGTTAACTCTTTTTTCTTGAGTTTTTTACAAATTGATTAAATGTAGAATGAGATGATGTGAATTGGAAAATATATCTCTTGCAAGGGTATTGGACAAATACAACCCCTGTAATTTTTTTATTTATTGAAATTGTATGTTTTATTGATATTATATGGCATATTGTTGAACTATTTTGCTTCATTGTTGGAACATATGGTGTTCATCATAACACTTAATGTTCTAGAGGTCATTCTCTTTTCTTGTCCACAATGTGTTTGATAAAATGTTGCAATAAAATGTTGTTATATTTATTATGCTTAAATGTTTGGTTGTCGTTGTTAATTGCACTGCTAGTTATTTGTTTTTGCTTACATAGTACTCCTAGAGATCATTATATTAGTTCTTTGCTAGGATGCTTGCTATATATAACGTGTTTGATTGTTTTATTTATTACTACTCACATAATCATGTTCACATACTTTTTTTTTTAGTTTTTCATGTTCACATACTCTATACACATCACAATTCACAGGAGTTAAATGCAAACAAAGAAACTGAACCTCCAACGGGAAAATTATCTAAAAGGGGTAGGGTGATGACATGTTCAATTTGTAAACAAAAGGGTCATAACAAGACAGTTTGTCCAACTCTTGGTCAATCTGTTAGGGCTGGAGGACATGGCAAAGGTGGAAGAGGTGGAAGGGGTGACCGAGGTGGAAGAGGTACAACAAGCATCAGCTATACAACAACAAGAGATGAAGAATTAGTAGAATAAATTAATTAAGTAGCCTACTAGCTGTTAAAAATAATTATGTACTATGTGTAAGAAGAACAAGATGGATATTTTGACATGCTTGTAGTTCTTTATCTTGGAAGGGATGTTTTGCTTTTTTGGAAGAAATGTTTTGTCATTTTGGAATGGCTGTTTTGTTATTTTCTGCTCATTAGTTAAGAGCTGAATATTTTTATGTAAAAAGGCTCATTAATTTATTATTTCGGATGGTTTGAGCTCATTTTTTGTATTTTAACTGATCTAGTTTTTTATAATAGTTATTTCTAAAAGAGTAGTATGTCACAATGGATGAATGAGGGTGAGTGTTGACTGCTAGGTGAGCATGAAAGTACTCAAAACTGTTTTGTAACAGATTTGAAACTCATCATGTGAACTGCATTTTGTTTTTAGACCATTTCGATCCTGCATCTTTTATTTAAAAACAAGACAAATGTGTATTCCATTTTTTCACAATGATGAGTGGTTTCATTCCTCTTATTGAGCAATCAATATGTCCATTTCAGAAAGTCTTATAACAATTTCATTCACAATAATAGCCACAACAAAAATCAGAAACAAAAACCAAATGCCAAAAAACAACATTGAACCATAAAGCTTGATTCTGTACCTCAATTTCATTGACCAAACAGTACATGAACTTCATAGTACAACAATAACTAATATACAATAACAGTTGCATCCATCAATTACTCTACCTATTACATTTTTTAACCATGTCAATAACAATTAAATCAATACAAATACATAACTCATTCTCTTGCCAAATAGCTTGTATTTTACTTCAATTGAACAATCACTTTAATGGTTTCCAATTCACTTTCCATAGCTTAAATTAGGGTCTTCAGTTCCTCAATTGAAAATGCTTTACATCCTGAACAACCACATCCCCCTTTTATCTCCTTCTCTTGTTACTTCACCCCATTATTTCATCCTTCAAAGCAAAAAATTCACATCCCACCCCCTCCTACAATCAGTATCAAAATCGTGTTGTTACTTTCTCATGGTTGTAACTTTTGGCACAAACTTCCTTATAGACATATTTGCCTAGTAAGAGCTCACAAGCATGCCATGTTGTTAAACACCTGCTAAAAGCATTTAAATTCATGCTTCTTAAGCACCTGCTAAAAGGAATTAAATTCCATGACAAACATTAAGAAACATTCTTGACTTTAATCATTTCACACACAAAAATTGCATCAACATCTACGCACAAACATAATAAATGAACACATAGACAATATTTTAACCAAGCACAAACAATATAAATAAGCACACAGTGAGAAGTTGTAACCTTCTCCTTTCCCATATTCTCCCATTTTACCTCAAATAAATTCTGAACCATAAATATACATTACAGTTTACAAACTAATCCAAAAAATAAGTTCATCTTAGAAATTTACATGAATAAAATATGCAATTTGATGATGACAAACAACATATATAAAACAACTACAACTGTAATAACAACTTCAAAAAACATTCATTAAAATTTCAATGAAACGTTTAAACAAACATGTCATGTGCATAGTAAAAAAAGTAGAATAGTTTAACTGGAATTTCAAGATTTAGCATCACCAATCCATAAGTCTGAAACAAAATAATCATACATTCAAAGTTATACTAAAATATTTGCTTCTAGCATAACAAGATACAAAAAAATCTGAAAAAGAAAAAAGTATAAACGTAAAAGCCAAAACAAACTAAAGTAAATTATTACCTCAACATTCAAAGTTTTAGAGCTGAAACGATTGTATTATGTGTGAGAGAAAGACACTCTCATGATTTTCCTGAGTTGATCGTTGTAGGTGAAGTGAAAGATTTTGCAGAAGAAGAAAAAATAAAGAAGATGGAAAAGGGGCGTAGAAGAAGGGAGGGGGGAAGGAAAAGGCGTAGATGAAGAGAAGGGGGAGAGAGGAGAGATAGGGAGGGGGTAAAAGAGGTGAAAGGAAGTAAGTAATTTTTGGGAGTATATATAGTGGGTATATGGTGGGTATTATAATGGGTACAAATAGCATTTTTGAAATAGGGTAGTAAAACATGTGAATTAAACACACAAGTTGTTTAAAAAGCTGTTTACTAACCGAAAGATGTGTTTAAAATGCCGCTTACTAAGCGCATACCACCCCATGTATTAATTTAGCGGCATTTTAAACTTTTTCAATTTCTGAATTCCTTACCCTATTGTTACCCATCTACCCACCACCCCTACCCCCACCCTACTCATGACCCCGACCCCACCCTTACCCTACCCCCGACCATAAACCACCCTTACCCATCTGCCTTACCCCTTACCCCTACCCCTTATCCCCCGACCATTCCCCTTACCCCACCCCCACCCACTCGTACCCTCCTTTACCATATCCCGAACCCTACCCCTTTAACCCCTACCACTTGCCCCTACCTTGACCCCACCCCGACCCAACCCCCCCGACCACACCCCACCTCCCAACCCGTACCCCAACCCTGCCCCTTTACCCCATACCACACGCCCTACCTTGACCCCACCCACCCGTACCCCTTACCATACCCTGACCCTTACCCCCTTTACATCCTACCACCTTCCCCTACCTCGACCCCACCCCGACCCTGAACCCACCCTGACAAAACCATACCCCACCCTCACCCCGTACCCCTTCTCTACCATGACCCTTTACCACATACCATCTGCCCCTACCTCGACCCCACCCCGACCCCTTAGGGTAGAGGGGGTACGTTGGGGCAGGGTAGGGGTTAGGGGTATGGGTACGCGTACGAGGTGACCCCACATATTATATTATATACTTGTGTTCATGAATGTTTGTGTGTCTATATATGTATAGGGTTATTTTGGACATTTTAATGTTAAACGGTGTTTTAAATCATTTGAAGTAAACATGAGCTTACAACGCTGTTTATTTTATGCGCCGCTTATTAACGCGAGTCTTAATAAGTACCGTTTAGTAACCCGTGAGTAAACGTGTCCTTATCTTTCATCCTTTTGAAGTTTTTTCCCAGAATAATGCTAATTAAATAAATAATTCTCAAAATACTGTCGAGTTAAAAGTAATTCCGGAAATACAGCTAGGATTAACCACGGTTAACAAAAGCCGCTTCTATTACAGTACAAGAGCCGCCACTCCAAGTGGCGGCTCTTTTAATACTATAGAAAAGCCGCCACTTGGAGTGGCTGCTCTTGTCTTCAGT